ATTGTTAAGATTTTTACCTCAATTTGTACCAGTTGGTGATCTAAACCTGCGGTCTCCAACCCCCAGGCCGCAGACCAATAGGAATGGGGTCGCACAGCATGACGTGAGTGGCAGGCAAGTTAGCGAAGCTTCATCTGTATTTACAGCTGCCCCCCATCACTTGCTTACTGCCTGAGCTACACCTTCTGTCCGATCAGCAGTGACATTAGATTCTCATAGCTTGAACCCTGCTGTAAACTGCACATGCAAGGGATCTAGGTTGCGCTCTCCTTATGAGATTCTACTGACTTGATGATCTGAGGTGCAGCTGAAGTGGTGGTGCCAGCACTGGGGAGCAGCTGCAAATACAGATAACCATTAGCAGAGAGGTTTGTACAGAGACCATAAGAAATCAGTTGCTTACAGATTCACATCAACACCCTATCAGTGAGTGGCAAGTGACAGTTAAGCTGCATCTGGTGGCAGGCTCTAAGTCAGAATCAGACACTTTGGTCTGCATGTGACCTGCCAATTGTTTTATTTACCACTTCGTCTGCTCCTCTTTCCCACACTGTGCACTAGTCTCAGTCAGAGTTTTAGTAAGCCCATAAGCTAATCCTAGCAAAAATGAGTGAAAAACAAATGCCACTTGAGAGCTTCTTTGAAAAGGGGGGAAGACCCAGTGATGAGACAGCAGAAGACTCTAAGACTGCCAACAAAATGAAAGCTGCATTTAAAAGAAAATACCAAGAGTCCTACTAAAATTACAAGTTCATTGCAACAGGTGATTTACATTCTCCAAGCCCACTTTGTATAATATGTGGCAATTGGCTCTCCAATGAAGCCATGAAACCTTCAAAACATCTTCACCACATGGAGACCAAGCACCCTGCATTAAAAGACAAGAAGCCTTTTGAGTTTTTCAAAAGAAAAAACATGAACAAGAAGAACAGAAGCAATTATTAAAGACCACCACTTCATCAAATGTGTCTGTACTGAGAGCATCATTCTTAGTGGCTAACTGCATTGCTAAAGCTAAGAAGCCCTTTACTATTATTGGTGAAGAGTTGATCCTGGCTACTGCTAAGGACAGTTGCTGTGAACTTGTAGGAGAGGCTGCAGTTCAAAAGGTGGCACGTGTGTTCCTCTTTTGGCTAGCACCATAACTAGACGAATTGATGAAATAGCAGAGGATATTGAGGCACAATTGTTACAGAGGATTAATGAGTCACTATGGTATGTAGTCTAGGTTGGTGAGTTTACTGATGTTGACAACAAGGCAACAATGCTTGTTTTTATGCAGTATATTTTTCAGGAGGATGTGCATGAGGGTATGTTACGTGCACTTTTGTTGCCAGCCAACGCCACAGCTATAGAACTATTCTAGTCTTTGAATGATTACATATCAGGAAAACTAAATCGGTCATTATATGTCAGTATATACACGACAGACTGGCTGCCATGAGTAGACGGCTTTCTGGTATCACTACTCGGGTCTAGGAGATTGCTTCTGAATGTGAGTCTACATACTGTGTCATTAGTAGAGAAATGCTGGCTAGCCAAAAAATGTCACCTGAACTAAACAACGTTTTGCAGGATGTGATTGAAATTATCAACCACATTAAAGTACATGCCTTTAACACGCATCTGTTCGTGCAGCTCTGTGAGGAGGTGGACACAGAGCACACATGTCTTCTGTTATACACAGAAGCGAGATGGCTTTCTAAAGGTAGATCACTGGCCAGAGTTTTCGAGTTATGAGACCACTCCAGAGATTTCTTTTAGAAAAACAGCACTGGCAACAAATTTCAGTGACATAGAATGGGTTGCAAAACTTGCTTACTTGTGTGACATACTCAACCTGCTCAACAAACTCAATCTGGGAGAATGGCCAAGTGTGTTCAAGTTAGCAGATTAAGTGGCTGCATTCAAAGCCAAACTGGAATTATGGGGGCAATGAGTGAACATTGGAATTTTTGACATGTTTCAAACATTAGCAGAGATCTTGAAAGAGACTGAGCCAGGGCCTTCTTTCTCCCAACTGGTGCATGATCACTTAGCTTTCAAGAGTTTGAGCATTACTCCCCAACCACAAAAGACCCCTGAACTGGGAAGAAATGGATTCATGCCCCATCGGTGAATTGACTTTGTGCATGCTAGAAGAGGATCAACTGCTTGAGGTCACAAATGATGGTGACCTTAAAAGTATGTGTGGGATGACTTCAAATCTCCTTATGTTCTGGATTAAAGTCAAGGCAGAATATCCTGAGATTGCCACAAGAGCACTGAAAGGCCTGTTTCTGTTTCCAACATCCTGCCTTTGTGAAGTAGGGTTTTCTGCAATGACAGCAACCAAAATGAGATTACAGAGTAGACTGGACATAAGCAACATTCTTCAGGTGTCACTATTTCCCATCACCCCCAAACGGGACCATCTAGTTGCAAAAAAACAAGCTCAGGGCTCCCACAGATTCAGCATTGTGGTGAGTTGTATGATTATTTCATTATATATTATAATGTAATAATAATAGAAATAAAGTGTACCATAAATATAATGCACTTGAATCATCCCAAAACCGTCTCCCCCACCCCTGCCCCAGGTCCATTGAAAAATTGTCTTCCATGAAACTGGTCCCTGAAACCGGCCGTAGTGCCAAAATTGTTGGGTACCACTGATCTAAACCAACGTGGCAATTATTCTGACCATCTGGATAGATGGTCTGTTTGCCAGATTTTCTAAACATTGCCAAAGTACCGCTGATAAAATCCTAAATGATACACTTGTAATGTACAGATTAACTGTTTTCCCACAGATCTGTCTTGTAATTGTAATGTAAGTGAACATTGAGTCCTGCACGTTTCTAATTGACCTGAATTAATTGCACATATTTAAAATAGCATGTATGATTTGATATCTTACTATGATTGCTGAAATTTTTATTTAAAAATTACCGATGATTGATTTTGATATGGAATTATATGGAAACTCTTCAACCAAAAGTAGCATTGCTTTCACCTTTTTATCTTGAATTTCAGAGCACACGCTTGCAATGTTAAATTTTTTTAATTAGTAAAATTTGTTTACTTCTACCAAATCATTTTAAGATTATAATATATAATGTACTGTTTTGTAGCCATTATGTGGTATTCAAATCTATTAGATTATTAAGTAGGAAATGTCTGATTTCCATTAAGTACTAAGTTTGACAGTTGATATCTTTGACATTTCACTTTGACGCTTCTTGTTTTATTTTTATTGAGAAGGTGTGTCCTCAGTTTTTCAGACACATGTTTTGGCTTATGATTATCTTTCAAATTTTTTTTTAGAGCAATTTTTATGAAACCATGGATGAGTCAAAAATTCGTGTTATTTTCTAATATGAGTTCCATCGTGGAACTAATACAGCGCAGACAGCTCAAAGTATCAACGAAGTGTTTGGGAAGTATGTGGCTGATGAATGCCCAGTACATCAGTGGTTTGTTCTCATGATTTTAATCTTAAAAATGAGCCATGTGGGTGACCTGAGACCAAGGTGGATAATGATGAGCTGAAAGCTGTAGTGGAAGCGAATCCATCTGAATGAACATGTGAATTAGTAGCAAGATTTGACGTTACTATTCCAACAATATTAGACCATTTGAAACAAATTGGCAAGATAAAGAAGGTGGATAGATGGGTTCTGAATGAATTAAACGAGCATCACAAGATAAATCATCTCCAAGCTTGCCTTTCTTTGCTGTCATGACATAAAGGCATACCATTTCTACACCATATTGTTACATGTGATGAAAAATGGACTCTTTTTGAAAATTGCAGGTGTTCACCACAGTGGTTGGATAAAGATGAATTGCCGAAACACAGTCCAAAACTGAATATTCATCAAAAAAAAAAAAAGCTAATGGTGTTTGTTTGGTGTTCCAGCACTGGTGTTATCCACTACAGCTTCATGAAATCCCGTCAGTTGATTACAGGGGATATCTGCTGCAACCAGCTGGATGAAATGAAGAGGATGCTTGTGATTAAGCAGCCGAGATTGGTCAACAGAGACAGGCCAATCCTCTTGCAAGACAACGCTCCACCACATGTTGCACTAACAATGCTGCTTAAATGGCAGAAGCTAAACTTGAAAACTCTCTGTCATCCACTGTATTTACCAGACCTTGCACCAACTACCACTTCCAGGCTTCAGACCACTTCTTGCAAGGAAAAATACTCAATTCTCAACAAGCTGTGGAAAATGCCTTTCACAATTTCATTGCCACTCGCTCTCCAGGCTTCTTTGCTACTTGCATAAACAAGCTACCATTAAGGTGGCAAAATTGTGTCGATAGTTCAGGAGCATACTTTGACTAATTGTACTGCTTCTTGTCTGAGATATAATAAACTGCACTTTTGATTTGAAATTGGACATTTCATATTTAATGACCTAACATTATTTTAGCAAATACGTATTAGTGTTTTGAACTTTTAAAAACCTTGTTCTTATTATACTTTTCCAGCAACATGATTTTCCAAATTAAGATCATATTTAGGGCTAAGATTAAATTGAATCCCAAGTATCGTGTAGGTCTCTTATTTGATTCTTTCAGAATTTGAAGTAGTTGTCAGAATTGACTTACTATATTATTTAACCTATGCTGCAGAAAATAGAACTTAAATCTCAGTCACTGTCACTGTTCTTTATTTCTCTCATTCACACAAACCCTTACATGAGGTTTGGCTATTGTTTTCTTGGGCCATCTCTTTTCATGCCTTCATGGCTATGTTTATCTTGCCATTTAAGATTGCTTCTTATTCAAATATGGGATTAGGAGAGTTAAAAAATTATTTTTGGTTTGGCATTTGAAATGTTTTCTTTTTATAGGAAAAAATGTACAGAAAATGATAAAGACAACATGAAAGATTTGGACTCCCTGTGGTGTTTTTTCCATTCTGTTCTCAACAAAAAATTGTTTTAACTAAAATATGCTTGAACCTTTAGTAAATAATTCTGAATTGTTTCCATTTTATGTACTTTTAGATGCTGCTGTTAATTCTGGAGAACTGTGGTTTATAAACTTTTACTCTCCAGGCTGTTCACACTGCCATGATTTAGCTCCCACGGTACGTATTTTTCACATCCTGGTTAGTGTTTTATTTCTGATTGATACGCTGTTTTTGCATTTTTCTTTATATGTTGGAATTTTTTTCTATTAATAGTAATTAGAGCTATTGGAAATAATTATCAGATACTTTAAAATATCTATGATTTTGTTTGATAAAAATTTTCTCCTTTAAAAATGTATACCTTAAAGTGCAGTCAAGGCAAGAAAAATGAACTTATCGGAGAAATACTTATCTGTTTTTTTTCTCTCATAGTGGAGAGACTTTGCTAAAGAAGTGGATGGATTACTTCGAATTGGAGCTGTCAACTGTGGTGATGATAGAATGCTTTGCCGAATGAAAGGAGTCAACAGCTATCCCAGCCTCTTCATTTTTAGGTCTGGAATGGTAAGGGGTAAAGTTAGCACTTTTTTAAATTTGTGAAACTTTATAAAAAGTGAAATGCTAGAGAAAGCACAGTGTGAATTTGTAGAATGTTTTGATTTGAAGTCATATTTTAGGTGCCATCTAACTAAGCTCAAGTAATAATGAACATTTTGGATTATTTTATGAATATTTTTAGATGCCATTACTTTGACTTTGCTGTATTTCAAAATTAAATGTTTGCCAGTTTCAGTTTCTGTCTTAAGGAACATAATTTATTCAATATTCATATTGTACTTTGTAGTTTACAAAGTATTTTACAGATACTGTCTCATTGAATTTAAAGCTCTGATATTTTCCCCTCCATTTCCAGTGATGAAACTAAAATTATTATAAATCATATTATTAAAATGTCTTCCATAGACTCTGTACTATCAAGATTATCAAGGTATTATTTGGAAATACACTACTTTTGAGAAACAGCTTTATTGCATTATTCAAAACAGTGTAAAATCAAAAGTATTTGATATCATTTTTGGTGAGATTTAAAAAGAAAAAGTAAAAGACATTTCTCTTTTTATAAAAATCAATAGGCTACAGTGAAATATCATGGAGACAGATCAAAGGAGAGTTTAGTGAGTTTTGCAATGCAGCACGTTAAAAGTACAGTGACAGAACTATGGACAGGTAATTTGATTTTCTTAATTTTCAAGGATACTTTGAAATTGGTATTGTAAGTTTTTTAATGGCAGTATTAACATTTTGGTCATAATATTGAAATTTTAAAGTATTTTTTCCATACTTCTTAGAATGGAATTGTGTCATTTGATCTCTGCTGAAAAGTGTTTAACAAACTAGTGATATTTGTACAGAAACTAAAATAATTAAGATATGGGAAATGTATATGAGGTGGGGCTAGGTAAAAAGACATCTTTCATAGTGCAACTATTTAGTAATAACAAGCACTTTACTGCTTTCCTAAGTACACTATATTAGGCAGTAAATTCATGCCTATTCAGTTTAATTTTAAAGTTTAAAAACTCTTATATTCTTAGGCTTTTAATTTATTAAGTGATTTTAGGTTATTTACTCTGAACTGTCTGAAATGATAGTATTCGTGGTAAAGGGATGTTCGTTTCATTCATTGAATACCAATTATGTGTCTGAAACTGTTAAAAACTAGGGCTACAGTAGTAAAATGTGAGGAAGACATTAGCAAACAATTAAAATGCAATGTAGTAACTATTACAATAGAGGTAAACTTAGGGAAGCATAAAATATACAAAACAACCAAGTTGAGAAAATATTTCTTGAAAGAGCTCGTACCCTGTCATGAAAACAAATTGGGAAACTTAAGAGATCACTGTGTATTTGGGGAACTGGCAGTGCTTAACGAATCTGACAAAAAGATGGATAATTGGATCAAGTGGTATGGGGAGAAATATAGCTGGCTGAATGGGTAAACAAAGCTCAGATCACAAAGGACCTTACTTGCCAAGTTGAGTTTTTTTCTTAATGAAATAATGAATTTAGGTTTTATGTGATGAAAAAATTGGAGCAGCATTGAAGGAATTTGACATATCAAGAGAATTTTTAGAAAGATAACTGGTAATACTCAGAATGAATTGGAAGAGGGTAACATTAGAAAGAGAAAATCATTTAGAAGGCTGTTTCCATTATCATGGAATAAGTGATCAAAAATCTGCTTTATTTTCTTTTAAGGAAATTTTGTTAATGCCATACAAACTGCTTTTGCTGCTGGTATTGGCTGGCTGATCACTTTTTGTTCCAAAGGAGGAGGTAATTTTATTATTTTGTTATGATGAAGAGACCATGACATTTAAATTTTAGGTGACAGTTTTATGTATGCTACTATTATAATTGATGATTAAGTACCTGAAACAACAATTTATACCCAAGATTACTATTTTTTACTTAATGAATATTTACCTTTTTCATTATTTTACATATGAGACTATCAAATTATTAATTTTTTAATGTATCTTTTATGTTTTTATGTTTAGTGGATGAGTTTTTGAGTTTATATATACTCATGATAAATTGTACTTTCAGGTAGCCACAAATCTATTTGGCAGTTTGGAAAATCATTAGTTGCTTACAGCTATCACCTCTCCCAAAATAATAATTTTTTGGAAATATGGACTTTGCTTCAAACTTATATTTATCAAAAATTTATACATTTGCCGCATCAAATTATGTATTTGACAATTTTTTTTTTTTGGGGCAGGGTCTCACTGGGTTGCCCTGGCTGGGCTACAGTGCCGTCAGCCTACCTCACAGCAACCTCAAACTCCTGGGCTCAAGCAATCCTACTGCCTCAGCCTCCCAAGTAGCTGGGACTACAGGAATGTGCCACCATGCCCAGCTAATTTTTTCTATATATATTTTAGTTGTCCAGCCAATTTCTTTCTATTTTTAGTAGAGATGGGGTCTCGCTCTTGATCAGGCTGGTCTCAAACTTCTAAGCTCGAATGATCCTCCCACCTCGGCCTCTCAGAGTGCTAGGATTACAGGCGTGAGCCACCACGCCCAGCCCAAAATTATGTATTTGAAGGTGACAGCTTGCCATTATCTATGAACCTTTCCTTCAATAAATTTAGTAAAAAATTCAGTACCTTACATACCAAACCACAAACTGTAAGCTGTATTCAAAAACTAAGATTGGTTAAAAATTGGTCCCAGTATAATGAAATGTCCTCATTTATTAATATGTTTTCATATGTTTAATCCCATTGTGGGTCTTTTCCCCACACTTCATCTTTCAGCATTTATGCTATGTTAGGATGATATTGCCTTCTAACTAAGATCAACCAGTCACCCCATTCTGTAAGGCCTGTGTTGGGAAGATACTGCCTTGCTGCAAAAGTCAGCCTTAAACTTAGTCTATCACCAAGGGGTTTTGTCTCTTTTTGGCTTAATGCCCAGATATCTGTTCATCTACATATGACTTTTTAAACTTTTTGACATTCTTTTATTTTTCACCTCAGGTAAATTGCTTTTACCCATTTTTGTAGGTTCTGTGATGCTATAGCTCCCTTTCTTCTAAATCTTATTGTATCTAGTGTTCATACTTAGGGAACTTTCATAAAACTGGGGAAGATATTTTAAGATTTTATTGTATTTTTAGGATCTTTTACATACCTTTATCAAATAGGCCCGTTACATTTTACTTCCCCCAAATCATGAGATCTCTTGCATAAAGGGGATTGTTTATAGGAGGAGAGATTTGAGAGATCCTAAAAAGATGCTTGAGAGTAAATGACTGTTTTTCTCTGTAGCTAGAAATCCTGAGAAATTAAGAGGAGAGAATGAAAGAATGTGTGTGTGAGAGAGGGAGAGAGTGTGTGTGTGCGCGCATGTAGAAAGTTTTCAATATTTATCAGCAGAGCCCAATTAATTGCCTTAGAGTGAACATGGTAATTTGGGAGAAAGGGAAATAAAAATATTTTCATTAGGCTTAATAAAGCTAAAACTGCCTCATAAAGGTATTTTTCTCCCCAGATTGTTTGACTTCACAGACACGACTCAGGCTCAGTGGCATGTTGGTAAGCATCAATCATTTTGTAAAACTATATCACCATGTAAAGAAACACATTTAGAAATTTATTCCAAATAGTTTCTTGAACATTTAACTCATTTTTAATCTTTTTTATTTTCTGATAAATGTATTTATAGCTATAAGTTTCTTTCTAAATATTAATAATTAGCTGTGTTCAGTAAATTTTGATATGTGGTGCTTTCATTGTCATTCACTTGTAAGTATTCTATAATACTTGCTCTTATCATGTTATGGTTGGGGAATATAGTCTGTACGATGTTGATTCTTTAACACTATTGAAGCTCCCTTTGTGACCTGGCAGTTTGTCAGTTGTGAAAATTGTGAGTTCTATGTAAGCTCGAAAATGATGTATCTTCTATGTAGGTTAGGTGTAACTTTTAAATCTATCAGATCAAATTTATTAATCATGTTATTCAAATGTGCATCATTTATTTTTGGATTACTTGATCTAAAGGAGAGGGGCATGCCAAAACTTCTACCTACAAATTTTGGTTTATCTATTCCTTTCTTTCTGTCAATTATTCCTTATATTTTGATGTTAAATTATTGATGGCAATATGTTCATGGTCATTATTTCTCTTTGGTGGCTTTGTGCATTATGAATTTTTTTTACATGAGTTCTGTTTTATTTGATGTTAAAATCATTTAGTACACTTTTATTCATTCCCTTTCCTTATTTCACCCCATGACCTAGGCCATTGGTTTTTCAGGACTGCACAGTAGACTCAAGTGAGGAGCTTTTAAAATGATTTTAAAGAAACCCAAACCAGGTCTCCCCTAGATCAGTTAAAATAAGAATATTTGAGGGTGAAGTCTGAGCATTAGCTTTTTTTTTTTTTTAAATCTTTGGCAGAGCAATTGGCCTGTATTTTTCCTTTCCAGTAAAGTCTTTGTATGCCTTTAACATCAAGGATATTCTGGCCTTGTAAATGTGTTGGAAAATCGTCTCTCTTTTTCTCTTTTTTGGAAATAATTTATATATAATTGGTGTTATTTCTTCCTCATTTTTTTTTTTTTTTTTTTTTGGTAAAATTCATCAGGGAAGCCATCTGGGCCTGGAGTTTTCTTTGAATCCATATTTAAAGATTTTTCTCCAGTCTCCTTTTGTATATATTGGATTATTCAGATTTTCTACTTCCTCTGTTTGGTAAATTCTGTTTTTGTAAGATTTTGTCCTTTCAACTAAATTTCTAAATGTATAAAGTTGTGCATAATACCCTATGATTTTTTTTTTTCAATATCTGTAGGATCTGCACTGATGTTCTTTTTTACTCTCTGATTTTTTTTTTTTGGTGTGTGTACCATCTCTGTTTTTTTCTTGGTCAGTCTCGAGAGAGGTTTATCAAGCTTTACAAGTCTTTTCAAAGTCCCAACATTTAGCGTTATTGATTTTTTTTCTATTATACTTTTGTTTTCTATTTCATTGATTTATGTACTTTATTTCCTTCCTTCTACTTTTTAAAGTATAATTTGCTATTCTTTTTCTAAATTTTTGAGATGGATGATTAGGTCATTGATCTTTAGGCTTTCCTTTCTAATATATGAATTTAGACTAAATTAGTGAGTACAGCTTTAGCTACATTCTGTATTTTGATATGTAGTATTTTCATTATCATCAGTTCAAAATATTTTTTGATCTTCCATTTTTATTCTTTCTTTGAATCACAGTTTATTTAGTACTGTATTTAGTTTCCAAACATAGATGGGATTTTTTAATTATGGCTAGCTTAATTCTACCATAGGTAGTGAACAGTTTGCATTTTTTGAAAGTTGTTGAGCCTTGCTTCCCCGCCCAACATACAGTAAATTTTTATAAATATTTCATGTGTACTTGAAAAAGTGAATTCTGTAGTTCACAGGTACATCTACTATTAATGTCAAATCAATTGAGTCTAATTTGTTAATTATGTTAATCAAATCTTCTAGATTGTTATAATTTTATGGTCTATCTGCCTGTTCTGTCAATAACTGAGAGAAATATTTTGATGTCTTCCACTGTTGTGGCTATTTCTAGTTTTTCCCTTTAGTTCTGTCAATATTTTGAGCCTTTGTTATTAGATGGATACTGATTTAGAATTGTTACGTCTTCTTAGTGATTCGAATCTCTAACCTGACGAAATAACCTTTATCTCCTGTAGTTCTTCTTGCCATCACGTCTATCTCAATTGATACTAGTATAGCTATACCAGCTTTCTTTTGGTTAATGTCAGCATGGTATATATCTTTTCCATTCTTTCCTGTCAACCTTACTGTATTCTTATACTTAAAGTGTATTGTCCTGTAGTCAACATATAGTTAGGTTTTGTGTTTTACCTAGTTGTTATTCTTGGTCTTAATCCATTTACACTTAATATTATTCTCAATATATTTGGCTTTTTACTCATCACCTCATTAATTTTCTGTTTGTCCCACCTATTTTGTGATCCTTTTTTTCCCTTTTTCCCTTCCTTTGGATTAATCAAGTGGGTTCTTTTTGTTTTTTTTTTTTTAAATTCCATTTCCTCTCTCTGCTAGCTCTTTATTTACCCATTCTTTTACTGGTTTTTTGGTGGATACCCTAGAGATTATAGTATCAATCCCTGATATTGCAAGACAAGGCAAGAGCCCTAGAACACAAATTCTTTTACTACCTCTTCAACTTTGCTGTCATATATTTCAATCTTATATGTTTCTTTTTTTCTTTTTTCTTTACTTTTTTTGGATTGTATCTTACATGGAATAAAGTAAATACATTTTAAGTATACAGCTTAATTTGTATATATGCATGCTCCCATTAATACCACCTAGATCAAGATCTATTCTTTCTGCTTTTAATTGTCTTTGATTTTCTGAAGTTTCATTATGCACAAGTGTGAATTTCTTATTTATTCTGCTTGAAATTTATTGGACTTCTTGAATCGATAAGTTAATATCTTTTATTGGTTGTGGAAACTTCTCAGCTGTTATTTCAATTACTGTTTCTGTCCCATTCTCATTCTCTCTCTCTCTCTCTCTCTCTCTCTCTCATTTTCTGAGATCCCAGTTGAAAGTATGTTACACCTCTATTTGTTTCCTAACTTGTCCAGTCCAAAAACATTTTTCAGTAACTTGAGGTCCTGAAAAATACACTTTTCATAATAGGATTTTGAAATTCATTAAAGGAGCTCAGCCATAATAGCTGAAAACTGGGAAGGTACTAATTTAAATGCACATTGTAGACTCACACACAGAGAATGTCTAATAAACTATGTAGTAATTATTGAAAGAGTAGTCATAATGGAAAGTCTTAAACAATGGTCAGTTTGATTTTTTTTTAGCCTGAAAGAGATTATTGAACAGCTTGCTTTCTATAAAAAATTATAAATGTAGTTTTTTGTAAATTTGTAAAAAGAATTATAAAAAGTAGGTCTTAATATCAGGGAAAAACTTAACTCATTATCTCAAGTTAATGAGTGCTATTGGGTGCTATTAACAAAAGGTTTTAATTTTATAATAGAAAAATTGTGTTTTTAGCTAAGTAGAGGATAAATTCTTTTAACTTTTTTTTCCATTTACAGCATGGCCTATTTTTTGTTTCTTTCCATTTTAGGATGGTCTTGTTAATGTAGGATGGATGGATTGTGCTACCCAAGACAACCTTTGTAAAAGTTTGGATATTACGACAAGTACCACTGCTTATTTTCCTCCTAGAGCCACTTTAAATAACCAAGAGAAAAGCAGTATTTTGGTATGAATCACTTTAATGTAATTTCTTTACATAAAATGTACACATACATTCAAAAGTAGTACATTATTTTTTAAGGATGGAGCAAGGTAATTAGTTGATTTATATTTTCTGATTTGGGAACATTTTATTTAGACCAAATATTTAGTTTCTGGGATTCTGTGTAATATATACATCAGTTTGTAAAGTCTGTTATAAGAATTATTTTTAAACTGGCATTTATATTACATTTAAAACCTATACTTTTACATTACATTTAAAATTGTATTACATTGAAAACCATTACACCCCAAAGGTATGGAATACATTCTTAGGTTAAATGAAAGAACATTTATACCATACCATGAGTTTCCATTGTTTTCTATTTAATTGTATATTTTCTAATGTTAAAAATATAGATCAGTGGTAGTTTGGGTTGGGGCCCAGGTACCTGTTTTTTTAAAGCACCCTGTGGAATGCTGATGTAAATTTAGTTTGGAGATCTACTAACTCATGTTTACTCCCTAAGCTTATGAATAAGGAAACTTAGGCTTAAGCTAGTTGTCAAGGGGTTGAGAATACATACTGGGATATCAGATAGGTCCCTAGGGAACCCCAAAAGAAAACGAAGGACTCTGATAACAACAAACCTCCTTTGGTTTTCTTTTCTGTATTTTAATTCTGCTTTTTTGGATGTTGATAAAAATAACACATACTCATTTCAGAAATTCATATATGGTACAGAATTGTATAAAGAAAGATGCAAAATTCCTTCAAAACAATAGACAGCCACTGTCAAATCTTGGTAAATACTCTTCCAGATGTTTACTTACAAAGAGGTGTAATTTTGACTTTGTGCTGACAATTCTCTAGTTTATATCTGTGGCTCAAACCTCTGTCCTCCACTTCAGACACACGCACACACACACACACACACATACACACCCCCACACCCACCCACCCATCATTGCCTATTAAATATCTCCCCTGGGATGTTAGTATCTGAAATTTAAATGCCTATAACTTTATTCCTAATATTCCCACATGAATCTACTTCACGCAGTTCTCCCCGTCTCAGTTGGTGAAAACTCTATCCTTTATTATTCAAGCCAAATGCTCTGGAGTCATTCTTGATTCCTCCTTTTCTCATACCTTATAACCAGTTCTTCAGGAAAATCCATAGCTCTATCTTTAAAATGTTTCCTTACAGGTAAAATAGATGGGTGGATATGGATATGTAATTTTTCATAAATGGGACCATATAAGATTCTATCTTATAGTTTTTTCGCTCAGTATATCAAGAAAATT